ACTCACCAAACCCCTGGTGTTTGATCAAACCCAGGTTAAGAACCACTGCTCTATAGCAAGGTTGTTAATTGCTAGGTTCCATGTTTGACCCCTGAATGAGACAGTTTCTTATCTCTAGAAGGGCTGTATAGAAGCAACTACCTAACTCAAACAATTGTTTTGAAGTTGTAAACAAAAAAAATGTAGTAAATGTGCAGTATATTACTTTTGATTTGTAGTTCTGCCTCTTGTTTTTTTTTTCTTTTTAGTCTTTTGAATTATAAAGTCTGGAAAAACATTCCATATAATTAATTCTATGTATTTTATTTCTAAACAGCAAACTGTCATCACAAATTTAAACAACACTGATTTTCATGGCAGTGGCTACACAAGGTATTTCACAAAACAGTTTTTTATATTTTTGTTGTTTTTACAGTTTTACTATGTGGCTACTTTCAGGGATGGTGTGAAACCATGGTATCCTCCTGGGCCTAGGATGAAGAGCTTACATTCTGCTCTGCTTCTTTTCATGTGCCAAGCTACCTGCATGTTTATTATCATGTCTAGTTTGACAGTGAGAGGATGATGAAAAAACAATATCTTTTAAATAATGGCATCTTTTAAAATGAACATTACAAAATCCCTTGGATTTTTGTTAACATGCTTATTAATAATTGCTGTTGTTTCTGCAGCATGGCTGTTATTTATGGGGTGTTCTCAGCATCAAATCTGATTTCACCTTCAGTGGTTGCCATCATAGGACCACAATTGTCCATGTTCATAAGTGGCATCTTTTATAGGTAAGTAAAAATGTATACATTCTTGATAGTATGACTGTCTTCTTTTTACTTATCTCTGTCTAGATTATTTGCTGTACTTATGAAAACTAGTAATAGCTGGAGAAATAGGATACGATTTGCCCTAGAGAAAGAAAAGGAGTTGCTGTTTGTTTTTCTACTGCAAAATACAAGCTATTCCATCTCGTAAAACGGGGATGAGGACCCCACATCTCACAGGCCAAATTGGGCTCCCTATCAAGGCATGTCTCTTTCAAGCAAAACTCTCCCTTTTTGGAGCCCTCCCTGAAAGATGGCTGAAATATATTCTAAGGGGCAATTACTAAGCCTTCACTTTCCACTTGAAGGCATATCTGTTGTCTTGTTTAGCTTCTTGGTTGGTTTTTCCAGTGAGGAAAGTGAGGATTGAGTGAAGCCAGCACACTGGCAAGCTGCCTCAGAGGATATGTGTGTTGATCCGTCAAAGCTGAGTAGCATGCAAGGGGATTTCACAGTAAAAGGAGGTT